GAGAATAACTTATGGCAACACAAAAGAAAACGGGAATTCAGGCGGGAGTATACGTTGTGAAGTTGTTTGCGGCCTGCCAGTAAACCCAAAGCAGAAGAAGACGAAGTGACGTCAGAGGCTCATTTGCGTAATCTTCCCTCAGGGAAAAGTATTCCGGTGTGAACGCGATTGGTACTTAGTGCCCTGGGGTAATAAGTGCCGGGGCACTAAGTGCAGTACGACAAAGTACTTGGTGTGAAAGCGGCTAAGGAAGGCTCGATAATCACTCACGGCATATAGGTGTAAGCAGGGGTAACCTCCTCTAGGGGGTTCCGGGGGCATGCTCCGGTGCACTTTGAGAGCAAAATGAAGAGATATGCATACGTCTTTCAACACCCATATGAAACAGAACTGTAAGCAGATTTTCTTTTTTTGTATGGATATTTTACAAATCACTCCCCTGTGACTGTGTAATGTAAGGTAGCTTCTAGTCGAACACTGACAGTAAGTCAACATTTTCCAGAGCGCTTTCTTTGAAATCACCAGGTAACACTAAAAAACATAGCATTTAGATTGTATGACAAAGTGTTAATTTAATATCTCTGGCTAGCTATAGCTACTGGCTAACGGTTTAGCTTACCAGCGCGATTCAAAGTAACGTCAACAACGTAGCTGTAATTTATGCTTTGCTTACATGTTCGCATAACTTGGAAGTTTACTGACGTTTACATACCTTGTTTGCCTGGCTCGAGTGGTGGCTCTGGGGTTGTTGTGTGAGCCACCACTCGAGAATTGGCGTATTTTTTAAGTCCATCTTCAAAAACTCAGAGTCCGACTGACAGTTTAAACATTGTCACAGGATCGGTACCTGTCAGCCAATAAGACACGTTTATTTCCATGCAACTCTCTGGTGATTGGTCTGGTGTCTTGCCTCTGTTGCATTCACTGAACACGGGAAATTACAATCCTGCCGTCCTCTCTCGTGTCATGATGAGGTTCAGGTAAAGCACGGTTAATGTATTATATGAGTGAGGGAGAATTGTCCGGGGCGACGCGCCTGGCAAGAGGTATTCAATTACATGTAAATACACACATGTACAGATTGTACAAAACTACAAAATCTGTTAATGAATTGATCGTAAAAAATATAATGAATACATCTTTGTTTATATAACTTGTGCTTGCATCCTATCAAATGTATGGAAAACATTCTATTAATTTGTGTATTTCCATCAAAAACAATGATTAAATGAACCATATTGAACACAAAGCTGCTCTACTTCACAGTAGTTCAAGGTAACTGATTGTTATTCTGCACGAAGTTGCACAATAACAATGCAGCTCAGTCCATCACGCTACCCCGAAAAATCATGACAAATAAAACATGACGGCATTTGACCATGAACTCAAAGTTTTCTCGACCACTGTGTTCTTTGAAAGAGTCCTTCATTGTTTCCACTCACAGAGAAGCATCATCAACACCTACAGCTCCCTGTTTTGGCCACAACAGAGTCAATGGTGAACGAAGCACACACGCCTCAGGGGGGAATGAGACTCATATTTGTCTTGTCAACAGAAACACAGCTCAAATGATTTCTAATGTTGCTCTTAGTAAATAAGCAACTGCCTGAACAAATATGACAAAGCAGCTTGAAATGCTCTGACACTGTCTGTCAATGGTTATTAAAGCCATTCCTGTTACTTAAAGGTGGGGTATGTAATAACGTCCCGATAGCAATGAATATATTAAATGCTTTGACAATAAATACATATCATCAGTGGAAGCCGTGGCGCTGTAAAAAGCACGACCAATCATCTGAGCCAGCTAAAGTAACTGGATGGCCTACCTGCCTGTCAGCCTTCCATCTGTGCACAAACTTATCGCGTGCCCTCATTGGTCATGTGCGCGTTCGTGTGTTGGAGGAGGGGCTCTGTAAGGAAGTGGCAGATTTTTTTCCCGCTGTGTATTTTTAAATTCTAGCGATCTCGAGCTGGTTTCTCCAGAATTACCTACCCCACCTTTAAAGA